TCTCTCAATTCTCCCCCACCCCAAAAGCGGGGAGGGGGCGACCTTGCAAAAGGGAGGGGGCTTCTCCCGGTTGCGGGGAAGGCTGGAGGTGCGCCTTTCTCGGCCAGCCTGGGTAAATTCGGCCGTATTCTTCAATACGGGCCGGCCCCAGCAGTTCCGGCTGGTTGCCGGCAGTTGGCTGTTCCTCCCTGGCCGCCTCGGCCCCCCCGGCCCTGTCGGTGAGCGCCTGGCAGGGCGCAGCATCGCCAGGCCTCCCCCCTTCGCGCGAGGCGTCTAGCGTTCCCCCTCGCGCTTGGCTGCGGCGGCCCGGGGTATTCCGGCCTCGACATGCAGCGCCGCAGGGAACGGAAGGGAAGGGGGGAGGGCCGTACCTGGAGCATCACATGAAGAATACGGCCGAATTTACCCGGGCTGGCCGAGAAAGGCGCACCTCCAGCCTTCCCCGCAACCGGGAGAAGCCCCCTCCCTTTTGTAAGGTCGCCCCCTCCCTGCTTTTGGGGTGGGGGAGAATTGAGAGAGAGAGAGAGAGAGAGACAAACACACACACACACAAAGAGGAGAGGGGAGCCGGCCGGCCCACCCATTTCCCCCTTTCCCTGCGCAAGCGTGTGTGGATTTCCCCCCCCTTTATTTCTGCCCGCCTCTCTCGCCCGCCCGGTTCCAGCTTCTCACTATTCAGGCGTTTCTGCAAAGCGGGAGGGGTTGAGGGAGGGGGGGTGGTTGGTGGGAAAAGAAAAGATGGAGCAGCGGCCAAGGGTTTATAAAACAAGCGGCGGAGTCCTGCAACTCAGAGGCGACACGGGGGAGGGAATCGGAGCTAACCGAGGAAGGAGGCTGCTGTTTCTGCTGCCGCCGCCAGCCGGGGCATAATATGGTAAATAAATACGAGTGTAGGGGATCCGCACGTGAACGAAGCCCCACTCCCCCGCCCCTTTTGCTTTCGCTCCCGAGCCGGCGCTTTTGAAAAGGGCTTGACTCCAGCCTGGGATTCGGAGCGGGAGACGCCGCTGCTGCTGCTGCCGCCCGCGCTGCTTTGGACTTACAATATCCGAGCAAAAGACTTTGCAAAAGACCACCCCGCCAAGGGGGAAAGGCACGCAGTTGGGCACCGTCTTCCTTCGGCGTCTCTTTAAACGGTGCTCGGATATTGTAAGTCCACAAAGAACTGGGGAAAAATATTGACTCGAGTATAAGCCTAGGGGGGCATTTTTCAGCTCAAAAAATGGGCTGAAAAACTCGGCTTATACTCAAGTATATACGGTATTTTTCCCGAAACTACTAACTATTGGGAAATAAAGAACATTTCTGCATATATGGATCTGTTGCATCATGTTTTGAAATTTCATGCAGAATATAGTTAAAAAGTGATTTTATAAAATTTGCAATATCTTTCATGCACATCTGTGTATGTGTTGTGTGTGTCTTGCTTCTGTATGGCAACTTTTTAGCCAGATTTGGGTTCAATTATCTTTATTTTTTAATTTTAGGTGCAAAATTCAGAAAATATGTTGGCCATTCTGCTCATGTTACAAATGTCCGCTGGTCACATGACTTCCAATGGGTAATCAGTACGGGAGGTGCAGATCATTCTGTTTTTCAATGGCGGTTTATTCCAGAAGGTGTAACAACTGGAATCCTTGAAGCAGCCCGTATAGGTAAGATTTTTAGAATGTTGAAATACGATTGAACTAAAAGGTCCTAATTTCCTTAAATGGAAATTTTTAATCATTAATCCTCCAGAATATAGGTAGTCCTCTACTTACAACCATAATTGAGTCCAAAATTTCTGTTGCTAAGCGAGACAGTTGTTAAGAGAGTTTTTTCCCACTTTACGACCTTACTTGTCACAGTTGTTAAGTGAGTCGCTGCAGTTAAGTTAGTAGCATGATTGTTAAACGAATCTGGCTCCCCTATTGACTTTGCTTGTCAGAAGGTCACACAAGGTGATCACATGATGCAGGGGCACAGCAACAATCATAAATATGAATCATTTGCCAACTGTCCGAATTTTGATCACGTGACCATGGCGCTGCTGCAATGGTCATAAGTATGAAAAATGGTCGTAAATCACTTTTTCAGTGCCATTGTAACTTTGAACGGTCACTAAATGAACTGTTGTAAGTCAAGGACTACCTGTACTCAAGTCTAACACGTACATTGCCTTTTATTTTAATCTCTACTCCCCACTTGGAAATTTATGGAAAGGATCACTGAAAAGAGAATGTGCTTATTTAAGATTGTGCTTCGTTTTCATTTTTGGCTTAGTTCTGTATATTTTACTGTCAAGTGAAAAATGTTCACTATGTCCAAGATCGTTTGCAAATGTTTTAACATGTCAGAACTGAGATTTTACATATCTTTCCTGGCACTGAGAATTATTTTTAAAGAATTACTAAATAATATTATTTCATCCATTCTGCAGATTGTGGCATAGATTCCTACAGTGAAGAATCAGATTCTGATTTATCTGATGTGCCAGAATTAGATTCAGATATTGAGCAAGAAGCTCAAATCAATTATGTTCGACAGGTGAGTAACATTGCAGTATCATATCATTAGATCAGGAACAGTTGAAATGCCATTGCATCATACTAAAAATAAATATCTGGAAAAAAATACACCTGTTGATTCAGTGACATCTGTAGGGAAGATAAAATAGCCAAGATGGTATTTACACTATTGTAATTGAAGTCTTGTCTTTTTTAAGTGCATGCATCATCCATACCAAAAATATAGGGCTTTGATTATGATGCTACATCCTCCAACTTGTTTCTGTTGTTTTCACACATAAACATGCACTCGGACACTGTTTGGCCCCATGATTACAGAGCAGATTCATACTGCCCCCTCCTGTGCACATTTGTTCAGCATTGTCAATGGGCAGAGAAATATGTTAAATAAATACATTCTATGTAATTTTAAATCAGAGGTTCCGAACCTTTCTGGTTCTACAGAACGGTGGAGGCTTTGGTGGTTTCAGTGGCAGGTGGGATGGTGTCGCACGTGCAACCTAAATCCCACACATGCACAAATGAAGCGATCCATGGTCCAGGGGTTGGGGAACCCTGATTTAAATAATTATTTAAATATAAACATAAAATTGACTATGTCAGCGGCATTCAAGGAAAACCAGTTGAAGATGTTTTATAGATGGCATCTTCCACCAGCAAAGCTTGCCAAGATGTTCCAGAACAATTTGCCAACATGTTGGAAATGTAAAAAAGTACATGGAACATATTATCATTTATGGTGGACATGCCCAGTTGTAAAAAAATACTGGACTAAAATAAGAAGATGGATGGAAGAAATAATAGACCAGCCCATAGACTGGAAACCAGAGATCTTTCTGCTGGGTATTTTAAACAGAAAATATAGTAAAGAAATACGGTTCTTAATTCTACATATAACAATGGCAGCAAGAATAGTATACGCACAGTTCTGGAAAAATGAGAATATACCATTAGAGGAAGAAGTGATAAGAAAAATCCTGGACTGTGCTGAGATGGACAAATTAACAAAAGAGATAAAAGAAAAGGAAGATACAGAGTACTATCTAATATGGAATAAGTGGTATGATTGGTTGGAGACTAGAAATAATAAAAGGAGAATAAATGTGGAAAAGTCAAAAGTGGAAAATGTGTGTATAATAATGTATAGTAATAATATGTATTATTTTTAGTATGAGGTATAGTATGAAGGAAGAAAAATGTAAACAAGAAACAACGGGACAACAAGGACAAATATATCTAAAGAAGAATAAGGGGGGTAAATGTAAATAATAGAAGATTACCGTTATGAAATTGCTGTTAAAAAAAAGGAGGAGTATACACTGTGTGTATGTGTGTTATGTTTTGTTGTTTTAAAAAATATTTTTTTAATAAATAAATAAATATATATTTAAATTATTTGATAAGGACTGTTGCAACATGTTTGTGTTAATTAGATGTTGGGCCATCTTTTTTAGTGTAAATAAAAGATAAACATGTATCAAGAAATCATATAGGAATCGTGGTCCTTTATCAGTGAAAAGCTCAAATCAATTGAATAAAGTTCCTAGAAGGAAGCAAAAGTGATCTTAATGTTAATTATGATCCAATGATTCACAATGATCCTAAATGCCTTTTTCCCAGTATATTTGGTGAAGCTAGAAATATATTGTTTGAACATCCCCTGCTACATATTTTATGTAAAAAGTTTTGAAGGATATAAGAAAATATATAGATAATGTTTATCCATACTGATAACAACAACAACAACAAAGTTGGAAGGCACCTTGGAGGCAATCTAGTCCAACCCCTTGCTCAGGCAGGAAACCCTATACCATTTCAGACAAATGGCTGTCCAGTCTCTTCTTAAAAACTTCCAGTGTTGGAGCATTCACCGCTTCTGGAGGCAGGTTGTTCCACTGGTTAATTGTTCTAACTGTCACGAAGTTTCTCCTTAGTCCTAGGTTGCTTTCTCCTTGATTAGTTTCCATCCATTGCTTCTTTTCCTGCCTTCAGGTGCTTTGGAGAATAGCTTGACTCCCTCTTCTTTGTGGCAACCCCTGAGATATTGGAATACTGCTATCATGTCACCCCTAGTCCTTCTTTTCATTAAATTAGACATACCCAATTCCAACATCCGTTCCTTATATGTTTTAGCTTCCAGTCCCCTAATCATCTTTGTTGCTCTTCTCTGTACTCTTTCTAGAGCAGTGATGGCGAACCTTTTAGAGACCGAGTGCCCAAAAACCACCCGCCCCCGCTCCGCTTCCCACCCTGCCTGCTCCGCCCACCTGCAGGGACACGCACCGCCTCCATGGCCCGCAGCAGATCACCAAGGCAGCCGCGCAGCACCATGGTAGCCACGCCCTCTGACCACACCCCGCAGCAGCATCTGCATGCTATGGGGCACAAGGGCGGAGTCTTGTCCCTGCTGCCCGGCTATGTCCTTGGCTGCGCTGCTCCATGTAGGCCACATCCGGGGGCAATTCTCCTCCAGGGAGGCTGCTGGTGAGGGCCACGGGGGGAGGCGGGGCTGGGGTGACAGCACGCGTGCCCACAGAGAGGGCTCTGAGTGCCGCCTCTGGCACCCATGCCATAGGTTCACCACCACTGTTCTAGAGTCTCAACATCTAAAAATGTAGCACCACTGGTTTTGACCTACGTCATAAGGTTCACACCGGAATGGTTCCGTAACATTTCACCATAATTATGAAGTGTACTAGAACTAAGATAGGGAGACAATTACGTCGGATCGTGACACAACCGAAAAAACCGTCGACGTCGTGTGACGACCGAGTATAAATTCACTAACTCCACTAGGACTCCAAGATTAATTTAAGAGTAAGTCAATTCAGTCCATAGGTACCATCACACATTATATACTTTAGCTTCTGAGATGGGCTGTGGATATAATGATTTAGAGCAAAAAATATATAATTACTTTCTATTTCACAAGAAATATTTTGTTCTGAATAATAGCCTCACATTCTTATTCCAACCCCTTTCCTCTGCAGAATGTTTCCTGAAAGTTCAGAGAGCCTCCATAAAAATTTCTGCAATTTAGTTAGAGAACTAACATTTTTACCTATTAACTATATTTCCATATAGTAGATAGATGTGGGTAAACAGTGTAGTAGAAATTCATAAATTGTATGTCTGCTTCACAATTACCTTTGAAATATATTTATCAGTATTCAATTAGGGTGGAAATTTAACTATATGTCTGTTTTGTTTTTTATTCTTATGCACATTTTTGTGTGTAGTTTAGCTTTTTTTTTGGAGTTTCTATTTTAATGTTTCACATAAAATAAAAAATTGGAAAAAAAAACCCAATTTCTTCTTTTATGTCTAACTATATGCTTGACACAAGACAAGAGCTTCAACTTTTTGTTTTTTTATTTTTTTCTCCCCAGCTAAACATTTGGGTTACAAGTTTCATTAAATAGATTCAAGCATAAATTGCTTTTGGAAACTGGTTTTTATATTAGTGGAAATTTAGTGTCTGTATATAACCCTTGGGAAATTACAGTGTTGTTGCTTGGAAGAGGACTTCTTTGATATACAAATGACACTATTCCCCAAAAGCTGTCCACTCCATAAAAACCTTTTGCTGGACTCAGTATTTGTTGATCCAGTTCCCCTTCTCCAGAATTCTAAGGGATAGGTTCACTATTTGCAGATATAGATTATTGCTTACCATTTCCAATTGGAAAATTAAAGAATTGTTGTTGTTTTTTCAAACAAGCTGATTACATAGTATAGCAGCCTTCCCCAATTTGGGCAAATTCTATTCTAGAAATATTAGACTACAGCACAATAAGGATGAGAATTATGAAAATTGTAATCTAATACTTTTCAGTCATTAGAGTGGAAAAAGATATGATACAGGACAATGACAAAGATCTTTCAAATTACCAGCAATAATACCAGCAAACAATAAGAAGCAATTTGAATTACTTATTATGAGCTTATAATTAAAAAGTAATTTTTCCTTCTTTTTTGCAGGTTTACAAAGAAGATCTACCTCAACTGAAACAGCAACGTAAAGAGAAAAGCCATTCAGTGCCCTTCCTTAAGAGAGAGAGAGCCCCCGATGACAGTTTAAAGCTGCAATTTATACATGGGTATAATAAATTTTCAACAATAACTTTTTTGGTAGTTTACAGAAAGAAAGAGATAACCCATTCTTAAACAAAAATAGTCTTTAGATTTAAAATCTATGCCTGGAATTAAGAAATGAAATGGGTAAGGTGAGACACTCTGATTCTTACATTGGAGAAAGCTATTTAGTAATCAAGGGTAGAGAGCTTCAGGGCTGAAAACAAAGCAGCCACAAATCCATTAACTCAAAGAGGAGGGAGGAAGAGTCTCAGGATTTGAACCTACATAGTGCTGTATATCAGGCAGGTTTTCTGCATGCTGATTCGTGCAAATCTTCATTGTGGATAGGGCTTCCTGATTCTCTATAATAAAGTTACCTATGTATTTTGTTGTGCCTGCTTGGGAATGCAGGGCTAAGAGAAAGATGGATATATTATGCCAGGTATAAAACCTTGTTGATAATTATAAATCAAGGAATACTGATTTTCTGTTCAGATCTTTGCCTTTGGTTATGGCTTTCTTCCTTCCTCTTTCTTACACAACACCAAATCTGCTGTTGACTTTGAAATAAAGGTAAGTATGACTGCAACACAGTGTTAACATCTGAAATGGTATAGGTCTCCTGTTTGAGCAGTTGGTTGGACTAGAAGACCTCCAAGGTCCCTTTCAGCTCTATTCTGATTAAAATTGAAGAGTTAATCTGTTAACACAGTGTTCATTGTTGTGGTATCAGCCAGCTACTGTACATATTTTCCCCCAATCCCCTTTTTGCTCACTCTCCAGCAATGTATATTTCCTTAGAATGTTTTTTACTAGGCTGTATTTGAGGTTCTCCCTGTCCTTTTAAGATTTGTTTTAATGAAATGATTATATATCCTTGTCATAATCCTTCCAAGTTTGATCATTTCCCTTATGCAAAAAGACTGTACCATTCTCAGTACAAAGCCATTACTATTTTGGTCATTGACCACTATTTATTTCTTTTATTCTTTTATTTCTGGGATTTATTTATCATCTCTGACAGCTAGGATATTAGATAGTATCTAACATCTAAAACTGATAAAGCAGTATAATATATATATATATATATATATATATATATATATATATATATATATATATATATATATATATATATATATATATATATATATATATATATATATATATATATATATATATATATATATATATATATATATATATATATATATATATATATATATATATATATAATGAATACATTTTAATAAAAATAATACAGTTAATACATTTTAATACAAATAATGCAGACTTTATATTAACTTCATATTATTCAAATATAAACTGAAATAAATTCTGTTTTTAATATTATTCAAACACCAAGTATGTCCCTCTGCTACTTTGAGCTTATATCATAATATATAATAGTTTATATCCTAATATATGGAACATCATCCCTGCAAAGATAAGATTGATAATCTTTGATAGGCATTGAAGACATGATTTTGCCAGCAGGTCTGATATAGAGTGCATTAAGTGGTTGTTTGATTGTTGTCAACAAGAGGATGAGGGTTTATTGGGTTTTGTATCAGAGGTTTTAATTCTGCAAGCTGCTTGGAGTCACTGTGAGTGAATTAGCCATATAATTTCTTGATGATAGATAGATAGATAGATAGATAGATAGATAGATAGATAGATAGATAGATAGATAGATATTGATTAGAAATAAGCCCTTTTAATTTCAGCAAAATATGATTCAATATAAATGATAACACTAAGATCACAGTACATGTTCCTTTGCTTCCTCAACTAACCAGAGTCTTGTTGACTTATTTACCTGTTGATTTTTTTTCTATTGATTTCAGTTATAGAGGCTATGATTGTCGAAACAATTTATTCTACACACAGACTGGAGAAGTGGTTTATCATATTGCTGCTGTTGCTGTGGTGTATAATAGACAGCAGCACACCCAAAGACTATATCTTGGTCATGATGATGACATTCTCAGTCTTGCCATCCATCCTATGAAAGATTATGTTGCTACTGGGCAGGTGAGTATGTAAGAAACATGATCACTGGCAAATTAAAGTTAAAAATACAGATTTTCTCACATACAGGATTCAATCCAGGAAATGAAATGTTTGGCACATATTTATAACAATCCAAATTTTGTGGACTGTAGTTCAATTAGTTAGATTAATAATGGGTTTCCAACTGCACCAACTGCAGTTATGGCAGTCTATTCCTCATTTAAAAGGACATCTATCAACTATTTATTTATAGTCTCAGACCAATAAAAATATAAATACAAAATTTTAAATATAAAAATATCCCCGAAGTTGAAACAGTAATGAGAAGAGGGTATCATCTGGTTTCTGCAAGCCATAACTATTGCTAGAAACATGGTAACCTTTGTAGTTGTTGCCCAAGTTAAGTCTTACAGAAGGAAGATTACCGGTATACTTTCTTGATCAGAGAGATAGCTAACATTTCTGACCATGTGGGTTTATGAGTGCCAGATTCCATGAGTGTTACAATGCGTAGTGTTATAATGTATGGATTATTGATTCAACTTTTGTATCTGGGCAAACACACATCCAGTTATTGTACAGGAGAACTAGTACATTTGCCCATAAAAAGCAATGCTCCAATTCAGGCCAAAGTAAAACTTCTCCCATGTATAGAATATGTGAGCGGCAACTAGGAATCATCAATAGAAAACTTGCAATTTCAGGAAACCAATTGTTACATTGAGGAATTATAATTCAATTGAGAGGCTACCAGTGGTTCGTTGAAACCCAAGTAACCCTGCCTAAAGTTGAGCAGGCAAATCAAGCAATAATAAGCATTTCTGTTGGATTTGGAACTACTTTAAGCTAAGTATTGTATCTATTATTTCATGAGGAATAAAACCCTCTGTTTTATTCCTTCAATCTATTACGTTCCATCAAATATAAAAAAATTCTGTAAAAGTCACACTTGATTAATTGGAAACATATCTATCTAGAATATATTATATAGTTAATCCTTATACATAAGAACTATTTCCCCTAATCTGCCTATCAAAATAATTAAAAGATCAGAGAAAATGTTAAGGGTAATACTCTATGCTTCTTGTCTCCTGATAAAACAGAGGTCTCCAACCTTTCTCAGTTGGCAGACTGGAGGGAAAGGGAGGGGCCATGAGCGTGCACGATGCAAATGGGGCGGTGCTAGTGCCTGCATGACACTCGTTAGTGCCGCCCTGTTTTTGCCACACAGCACTCTGTTTTCACCACGGTGCCCTGTTT